AGGCCAATGGGTGCGCCCAGCATCTGTAGCAGACATATACACCTTCAATAATGTTTGAGAATTTGCAAGTTTTCTTTTTGAATTTTCAGGCATACTTCAGACCAGCAGCGAATTCGATTCCCGTAGGCGATACAAATTTTTGCACGGAGAAAAAAAACGACACCCTTGAAGTACGAAGGATGTTTTCGACTAAGAAGCTTACTTCCTACCTCTTCCACAGTTTTTCCCGCGGAAAAAACCGCTTGAGCGCCGTCCAGAACGACGTCAAAAACGTGCATGAGCACATTAGTTTGAAAATTCGTAACTAAAGCCAGAAAAAGACTGAGAGGCTGCAAAGCACAGGTTCTGTAGGATAGTGCCCAGACTATCCACAGAAAAAGTTTCAGCTCTTGAGGAGCAGTAAGCTCGAAAAAATTTAGATGCGACTCTCGCAAATTTAGATGCGATCCTAAAAAGCAAAAATTGGGAATTTTGTGCTCAAAATTTTGTAACTTACCAGAAAAGTTATAAAACAGCTTGCAATTTTTATGAGGGAAAGTAGAAGGATGGCCTCATATTACGGCAGAATTGCAGCCAACAAGCGTTAATAGCTCCGAAGAAATTTAGATGCGACCCAGATACGACCCCCCTCTCCTGACTTTTTGCTACCATACATAAAATCATAAGAAAATCCACAGTTGACAAAATAACACCAAATTTTGCACTGATGTAGCGGAGCGTCTCCAAGGTACAGATAAATCATATGGGCCCGTGAAAAACATTGCAAAAAGATTTAGAAGTTTATGAATGTCACAGCAGGTAAAGATATTCGCTTTTGTCGAGTGTGTGAGACTTCAGGAGGGCTACAGAAGCAAGATTTCTAGGGCAATCGGTACATTTAGCATTTTTTATCAAATCATAAATCCTTCAAAAGTGTTTTGAGCTTTTGTTTGTGTTTTTTTGAGAATTTCTACAGATTTTTTATCTTTTTATTCTAATTTCAACCTTTTTATAGATTTATTGTGAAGAACATAACTAATTATCTGCTTTTTGATTCCCTTTTAAGCTTAGGGTATTTTAGCCTAACTACCTTCTCTTACGAGCCCCCCCCCCACCTTAGGTACCCTGTTTACGACCCCCATTTGCGACAGTCGCATCACAAGCTTCACCCTGCTTGAAACCATGATGGGATAATGTGCACCATGATGGGAACCATCTTGAATGTGCAAGCATCGCGTAGTCAATCTACTATAGTACTCCCTTCCCCCCAGGAACTTCGCTTTTTGATGCGATGAAACTCCACTTTCTTGTATGGTTGCGGAACGAACAATAGCCTTGCCGCTTCCTTCCCCTGAATTCTTGTGCAGTAATTTTCAGCCGGGAAACCTTCATCCCAAAAATACCAACACAATCGCTCTAAATTCGCATGTAAGGGTCACTAGTCTACCGTGGCAATTTTCCTTCTAGAAATCAAACCTTGCCATCGTCGTAATTTAGTAAATGCAACCATTCAAATAAACGGTTGGTCTGGGTGTTTATTCTAATATACTTCCTTAAAACAGTAATATTGCTGAGAAAGCAAGAAAATAAAAACCCTATCAAAGATCATTCTTTTCTGCACATACTGCGTCGCCAATTTATCGTAAACATTTTCATTTCAGGAACCTAATCTTTGACTATTCGTCATCGTTTGATGTGATAAATTGGCGACGAGTCAATAAACAATTCAAACGTATTACCGATAATCGTGTAAAAAGGACGCTCTACCTAGATGTGCTGAGAATGGATACCACACAAGTACTACCAATGGGAGTGACAGGAGATGGTAAGTTCTGCATTATTATTTGATCTCGGTTTGAAATGATCACCAGTATAATCGAGAATATTGCTGTCTGGAAGTTATCAAAATTTGAAAGGGATTGCATGTGATAGACTGTTTTTAGAAGTAGCGATTTCATAGGAAAATTCCTCAAAAATCTTAAACCTCTTCGCCGCCATCCTCGATCAAAAATCATCAAATCGCTTTGAAAAAATTATATTTACTAGGTTCGTCCTAGCCAAGCGGATTTCTTTTACGCGCGAGCATTTGATCCTTTCTGACTTTGCTCACCACCTTTCGCGAGAGGTGGATAGGGGAATTGGATGATGTCATAAGGGAGAACAATTGCTTAAAATCTTCTTTCATTGCTCTCAAAAGCTTGCGTAATCGCTTATCGTACGAATAGATCATCGGTTTGTGTTTCTGCAGTAAATCAACACTGAGAAAAATATTAATAGGGATCAGGGCTCGGCACAGGTGGCTTACAAGCAAGCTGGATATCGTTTTTGGGACGAAAAGCAAAGGGGGTTTCGTTTTTGTGAGCGAAGATATACGGAAAATTGACGACGGCGACCTTTTTTTTTTAGTCGACGTTTCGTTTTTTGGGGGATTTTCGGGAATTTTTCAGGTTTTTAGAAGAAATTTGGTTCAGGGTCAAAGGGGACTTCGTAAAAATTCCCAAAAGTCAAGGGGGACTTCGTTTTTCCATTTTCATCTAGCCACCTCGTGCCGAGCCCTGATAGGGATTCATGAAACGGAATGTTAGTTCCTTGATATTTTTATGCTACTCGTAGAGTCTGAAGACTATCGAATTATAAAAACCAAGTGTAAGCGAGTAAGTGGAACGATGTTACCAAGACGATGTTAAATTTATTCGTTTATTTTTCATCTACATTGATGATAAGTGTGCTTTTGTGATGATACAGTATTGCAAAGTGAGAGTGTTGGTGAATTTCAGGATTTCAACTTTTTTGAAAATTGCCTTTTTTTGAATACCGATTGCTTTGTGAAACCTTATAACGTTTGGGGAATGTGAAGAGGCAGACTGAAGAGGAGAAAGCATCGGTCATACGTCCCAAAATATCGTAATCTCCGGAACTTCTGAAATAGTTGAATTTTTTTAAAGATTTACATACTCTGCGGGTTATTAGGGTTCCTGCATACTACGCCGCAGGACGCTCTGAGAATATACGTTCACTGCAACGCCTTTTCGCTGGTTATGTATGTATTCTATATCCCCTGCACGTTCACGCTCATACAAACATGACCAGCGAAAGGCGTTCGCACGCTGCGTCCTGCGGCGTAGTATGAAGGAACTCTTAAAGTCAACTATCTATCTTTTGACTGATAACTTACTACTCGACTTTGCCGATTATTTGCATACTGGACTCCGTACTGTGCTGTGAGCTACAGTGACCCTTGCTGCGCAGCAGTACACATCGCTGTTGCTTGTGTAATCTTCTTCGTACAAAAATACCGAAATAAAATGATTTTGTAAAACACGTGCAATACGAAATTGTCATGCTACAGTAGTCCCTAATCAATCCTGTTTATACCGTCAATTTTGCTAAACATATATTCTTTGACCTGATTCAATGCCTCTGAGCTGACGGAATGTCACTGATTTCATCCCTGATTTTTCCTGACATTTACTGCAGTTTTATCATTTACTTATAAATTATTAAGTTTTTCCAATGTTTCAATTGAAATGATCCTCACGTGTTACTTTTTGCGACTGGTACTCGAGAAAGTGCAAAAAAGTTCGTCCCGAACATAGAGGAACAGGTTTTCGATGTCTGTTTGAGAAGTTGGCGTGGTTGCTAAGGATGGATGCTAGTTCTAGTTTCAAGACAGTTTTCGATTTCAAACGAGAACGGAAGCTTTATGGACAACTTTATACAAATAATGGAGAAATATCTGACACCTGGTTAAGAGTTGGAAGTTCCGAGATGATGCCGCTACGCGCAAAACTTCGGGTTACTTTGTCACTACGTCGTATGGACGTAGTTATGGACAAATAGCATCTATTTTCTAATTTTTGTGGCAGCTTTTGCCGTAATATATCTTCCACTAAAAATTCCCTTTTAACTCATAGACTTAGAGTGCGTATATAAAACGCCTGTTACGGTTAAAATAGCCATTATCCATTCTCATTAGCTTGGCGTCGTCCTTGGCGTCGCTCTCACCGTCACAAGAGGCACGCCGCAATGTTATAACTATGGGGATCCCGTAACGACTCTGCGTCTCTAACCATGGCCGGAACCGTTCCTCTCGTCCAGATTCAAATCGAGGGATCTTGGAAAATGCTTGTTGTCGCCATTTTTGCGCTCTTCAAGGTAGATTTTCGGATTCTGCGCGTCGAACTACCCTGGGTAAGCGAAAATATTTCATTTCGAGAATTGCCGAGCCACTGCCTTTAAGGGTGTCGGGCCCCGTGCCAAATCATGTAACGTGATCACGTGTCGGGGCAGACCTATAACCACTCCACTTTGAAGTGCGGGACTTTAGCACTTACAAGTAAGACTTAAGGGGGGGGAGGGGAGGAGACATAAGTTGGAAGGGGTATTCTAGACTCTTTTTACAACATCAAAATTGATTAGCTCTGAAAGGGTTTGGAAACTAGGAGCGAAACAAATCCAGTAGCAGAAATCAAGACAAATTATGCCATATAGAAACATGAACATAAAGAGTCTCGAACCACCGTTCTAAGCAAAATCAGTTTTTAAGATGAAGACAGTGTAGTTTTTGAGCGGTCACTTTCGCTTTTATTTGGAACTTCCTGGAAACTTCCTGGAAGCGCTACAATAGCATTCATGCGTCGCATATAATCTCGCTTATCTTATATATAAAGCTGTATGTCTGTATGTATGTACGTATGTTGCGAATAAATTTTTATTTTTGAACCGATCCGGACCAAACTTGGCACACATACACTTCGGGGCCGGGCGGGTGTCATAGGCTACTTTTCGTCATCAATCGATATCCATTTTATTGATTTTTTAAAAAGTTCATGCTACGGGGCTGGGAGCTGGCACAGGGGGGGGGTAAGTGAGCATGCTGATTACGAATATACTATTGACGCGGCCGGGCGGAGCCTGAATAAAATTCACATTATAGCTCTATTTCTCAACCATTGAAACGTCCACTATTGCAGGTGACTTCTTCCGACATTCTACTTGTAATCTAATAGCGCATCACGAACATCGTTCTGTTCTTCTTGCCGCTCATGCGCAGTGGACGGCAAAGGAAGCTGCAAAATTACTGCGCGCAATTCAATTCTTTGGCAAAATGCTCATACTATCATGGTAAGTGAAGAATGTTGAAAGCACAATCGATAAATGATTAATTTTTTTCTTGCAGCTTGATTCATCGATAGCTGAACTGTGTGTAGCAGGACAATGTACAACAGACATACCGGCATGGTTTGCATTCCAAACCTCAGCCGGTGGTACAGATCCGACGACGGAGCCCGATGGGATTCAGGTTGGTTGAATATTTTTTTTCGAAAGTGTTGTTGTTCAAGTCTCGCTTTACAGACCCCAGGATGGCTTCAAAGTAATGCAAAATTCAATACGTCCACATATCTCAGTCAATCTGATGGGGATTTACCGCAGTGGAAACCGAAAACGCAACGTATTCCATTAGGACCGCTATTTCCGGAGACCAAAGAGGTACATTTCATTTACATTCATTTTAGTTATAGATACAAAATCATTGGTACATTGTAATTACCGTATTCGTAAATGATTTATGGTAATTCGGTCGGAAACAAAAAAAGGAAGCGAATGCAGTCAAACTGAGCTTTAGGCTTGCATTGATTTGTGCATTTCAGATTACATTTCGCTGTACTGTTCCGCAGTTACGTCGTACGCGTCGTCTAGATGTTTATCGTGTACCGGCCACCATGATTTTCTCATCGGAACATCTGCAAGTTTTTCGACTCGCCATCATTGGTGGACGTTCAAATGCACCGGCTACAATAAAATTACGTCCATTCCGTGAATGGCTTGATGCTGACCAACTCGGTAACAAGCTCTGCGTACAGTTTTGCTAAATAATCTAAACAGACTGGAGTCTTAGGTTTTCGTTTTGACATTTTACAACTTCCTTTTCTGGTAAGGGTTGCTTTAGTGCCCTTACCCTTCGTTTGAGTGATATTTAAGAAGAACACATGATTGTGATACGCACTGAAAAACGTTCGTAAAACACTCGCAATTCATTGCCAAAATATTGTCTCCAAAGAGTATTGCTCACTTGTTATGTAAATACTTTTAAACTACCCTTACTCAAATAATCGCCGGGGGCAGGCGGTCCGCAAACTCGCGCTTTTCTGCAGGCGGTTAACAAAATTTTGGGGCGTGGCCAAATGTTCAACGGGCGGCACTTTCTTTACGGTTGTATATTTTGCCAACGGGCAGCAATACAGCATTTTTTGCAAGCGCTCGGCAAATCATTTCTTTCAGCAAGCGCTGGCTATACTTTCAGCAAGGGCTCGGACTTTTACGCAGTTTCTGCCGCACGCCGAGAAAAGCTGAGACTCTATTTGGCAGAGGTGCCATTGATGGTTTAATTACCCTTTGGGGTACCTTCTTTCAGCGGAAGCTACCCTGCACAGTGCGGTCCTTCACAAAGGACCGTGCGGCCCACAGCAATTTTGCATATTCTCGCGGAAAGTCCGCGAGAATGCGGCCACTGCGCCGCAAATTATCTACAGAAACTATCAACTTATCTACAGAAAAACCGCAATAGTTCTTCGAGCGTTCGTCTAAAAATTGGCCAAAATTGTTCCAAATTTCTGCGAGCGGACCGCAAGAAATCAGCGAACTATTTTTCCGGTGTCCGCTTGCCAAAATTCGCATGGCCCCCTGCTCCCGGCGATTATCTGAGTATGTGCACCTGTCTGTAAGTAGATGTCTAATAATCAGCAACTCAGATAATCGCCGGGGGCAGGCGGCCATGCGATTTATGGGCGGGCGGGCACCGGAAAAATAGTTCGCTGATTTCTTGCGGTCCGCTTGCAGATATTTGGAAGAATTTCAGCGAAATTTTAGACGAATTCTTGGAGAACAATCACGGTTTCCTTATAGATTAGCTGCGGCGCAGTGGCCGCATTGTCGCGGACTTTCCGCAAGAATATGCAAAATTTTCGGGGGCCGCATTGTCCTTTGTGGAGGACCGCGCAGCCCCCAGGTACTTCCCGCTGATAGAAAGTACCTCAAACTTGAGTTATCAAACCATCGATGACACTTCTGCCATGTAGAGTCTCACCTTTGCTCGGCGTATGCCCGAAACTGCGTAAAAAGAGTCGCTTGCTGAAAGTTCGGCCAGCGTTTTTTGAAAGAGATTATTTGACGAATGCCTGCAGAAAATTCTGTGTTGCTGCCCGCTGGCGGCATTAGACAGTAAAGGAAGTACCGCTCGCTGAACATTTGGCCACGCCCCAAAATTTTGCTGACCGCTTGCAGAAAAGCGCGTGTTTGCGGACCGCCTGCCCCCGGCGATTATCTGAGAAGGTGTATGGATCTAAGTCACTCGGTTGTGTTTAGGAGTTGTTTTTTTACTACGAAAAACTCTTTGTTTATTACATTTTATAGCATATGCTCTCATTTGCTAGCTGATCTCCGTGGTCATAGGATTACCGCCATGTAGTAAAACGATAAGCATCTCCCTTGTCTCAGCTTTTCTGGTGGGCGCTTTTGCACACATCGTATGCTGCCGTGCTTAAGGCCAGGTTAAGATTGATGTACCAAATTCTTCTAAAGCAACCGTTGAAAACACAGGTGCGATAGTGTAAGACTTTTCTCACCCCCTCTTCACCCCTGAGCGGGGACCAGGGTGACCCCCTTCACCAAAAGCCGAGAAAAAAATCAACAGTGAGGTAAGGTTGAGCAAAGGAGATTATGCACGTGAATGGTCAATGTATAGGAAAGGAGGAGTCTGTTGAAAAAAGTGCTTGGTGACGGGTCTGAGTAGTGATTTCTGGAGATTTTCGGGTTTTTGACATAAAAAAATTCATAACTTTTGTAGATGAACATCTTTCACGGCGAGATAGTGCCCATTAGAACCGCCTCGTTCTCCGCTCTCAGAAAATATACAGCATGTTTAGGATCCGTTTAAAAAAGTGCGTGGTGAAAGATGTGCTTAGTGATTTCTGGGAATTTTCGTTCGGGATAAAAAAATCCGTGACTACTGCAGATGAACAGCTGGTGCATGGAAATAGTAACGATCGGAACCGCCCCGTCCTCCGCTTTCATAAAATATGTGGCATGTCTGAGATCCATTCAAAAAAGTGCCTGGGTGAAGGGTGTGCTTAGTGATTTTTAAAGATACTCGATTTTTTATCATAGAAAAATTCATAACTTTTTTAGATGAACATCTTGTACGCCGAGATGGTCACCGCTGGAACCGTCTTGTCCTCCGCTTTCAGAAAATATATACTTTGCCTGAAGTCCTTTAGAAAAAGTGCCGGGTGAAGGGTGGGTGAGTCTTTTATAATGGGAGTGCTCAAGTACAGGCTTTTTTACCATTGTAAAAAGGCGTCTACTTGAGCACTCCCATTATAAAAGTCTCACCCACCCTTCCCCGGCACTTTTTCTGATGGACCCCAGGCAAAGTATATATTTTCTGAAAGCAGAGCACGAGACGGTTCCAGCGGTGACCATCCCGGCGTACAAGATGTTCATCTAAAAAAGTTATGAATTTTTTAATGATAAAAAATCGAGTATCTTCAAAAATCACCCACACCCTTCAACCAGGCACGTTTTTGAAAGGGTCTCAGACATGCTATATATTTCTCGAAAGCGGAGGACGAGGCGGTTCCGATGGTTACTATTTCCTTGCACCAGCTGTTCATGTGCAGTAATCACGGATTTTTTTATCCTGAAAACTCGAAAATTCCTAGAAATCACTAGGCACATCCTGCACCAGGCACTTTTTCTAACAGATCTTAAACATGCTGTATATTTTCTGAGAGCGGAAAACGAGGCGGTTCTAATGGGCACTATCTCGCCGTGAAAGATGTTCATCTAAAAAAGTTATGAATTTTTTTTATGTTAAAAACTCGAAAATCTACAGAAATCACTAGGACACCCTTCACCCAGGCACTTTTTTGACGAACACCAGGCAATGTATATATTTTCTGGAAGCAGAAAACGAGGCGGTTTCAATGGTAGCCATACCGGCGTAAATTATGTTCATCTTCAGATGTTACGAATTTTCTATCCTAAAAACTCGAAAATATCCAAAAATCACCACCTACACTCTTCACCAGGCACTTTTTCAACAGACTCCAGGCAAACTATATATTCTCTAAAAACGGAAGACAAGATGGTTTCAAAAATATTCACCACGCTGACGTTGCTGTTCATCTACAGAAATTACGAATTTCTTCTTAAAAAAAATCGTAAATGCTTAAAAATTGCCTAACTCTTTCCGAAACAAATGTTCGCATGCACATCGACTATGGTAATTCCAAAACCAGGCAGGGCGATGTAAAAAAGGGAAAAGGAAATTTAAAAAAATACAAGGTGCTGGTCAGAAATATAATTGTATGCTAATCCAGCAGCGTATCACTTCACATTTTAGAAAAAAGACAAACAGTGATGGAAGGAATTGGAAATTATGAACTTTGACTGGGAAAAATGATGGCTCCCCCCTGTCGACATTTTACGATTTCTTTACCAAGTAAAACACCCTTCACCCTGGGGGGGGGGGGGGGGGGTTGCGACCACTGTGACCCCCTTCACCCTGGAGGAGTCATTCTCACCGTATCGCACCTGTGGTTAAAGATTAAATTTCTTTTTTTGCCATCGCACGGCAACAAGCTTAGTATGCAATCACAAGCAGCTCACGGTTATGGAAGCACCTGTGCTGTGTAAAAGTATTACACCCCTTCTCGTTTTCCATCTGTTTTTCTCTTCTAATCGCACAATAAGAAGTTTCAATACATGTATCTAGAGACTAGTCTGTCTTATTTGCACCGCTCTCGTAACTCTCATGGCGATGTTCTTTGACCACCCCGTAATTATAAGTGTAGGCCTCACAGTAATAATGTTACCATTTTGAATGTTTTTGTCCTGTATAACATCAACAGTTCCGACATTTTGGGTATAGTACGGCAGGTCTTTCAGTAAATTTATGCACTTTTCCACTTTTTATGCCTGATGATATACACCCAAAGATAAATATATTCACTACTCGTTTTTCTTTCATTGTAGCATCAACTTGTAGCAGTTCGTCTGCTCATTGTCAGCATTCAACGCTCGTACGTGTATGCCACTGATCCAACGCCTCTGCGGTTGCTGCAGCGAACTGGCTGTTGCTGAGAATAGATAACGGGGATTCATTTCTTATGCGGGGAGAATGCACACACTGCACCCCGACACGTCGAAGAAGACCTACAACACACATAAAAAGACGTCATTTGGAACACATGCGCTTGAGCGTTTGATCCATCCAGAGCATGGTTGCGGCTATTACTGAATGTCGCAGCTAGCTACAGCTAGCTGCGACATTCAAAAGCTACAGCTCAAAAAACATGTGACCAATGTCGCTATAAAGCTGGAGCTGAAGTCAGATTTTAGCCATTTTGGCTTCAAAGGCGCTAAATAATTTCAAAGGCCTTGACTCTATTTCTATAGGCCTTCTCAAAATCGTAACATTCTTCTGAACACATTTGGGCTATCCGCCTTCAACGTCTCTGTGTATTTTATTGATAATACTTCATTTTTATTCATTCTAATGTATACCTTTAGGTAAACAACTTCAACACTTCACTTTCTTTGTCCCATTGTTCATTTCACTGGGAGCTGGATTCTACAGGATGCAGAGATGAATTTGATTTTGCAAAATTTTGATTGACTGAAACGTAAACAGGGACAATAGGGCAATCTAAGTTTAGTAACGGATGTTCTTTTCAGTAAGTTATTAGTTAAGAATTCTTTATTACTATGTTTGAGCATCGGCAACGCAGTAAAAAAATTTACAAGATCTATCGTTAGTCCAGAACTAATTTAAATCTATTGTATTATTAGGTTCATGCATAATTCCTGCACC